TGAACTGTAAGATGTAAAACCATGAGCACAAAGAGCACACTTCAACACAAACAGGCCTTGAGTGTGTGCAGCCAGCCTGGAATTAGTTCAACAACAACAAAAAAAGAATCCCTGAAATGCAAATAGTATGGACACCGATGCCTCACCACCAAACATTGCATTCTACAGATGCAACCCTGTCAGATGCTGCTACCTGCCACAGTGCACATAGCTCCTCTGTCACAGTGTTCTTCAAAAGAGCCCATTAGCCCTGTACATCCAGCTCATCTAGAGGCATTGTGGCTTCCCACAGCCAAAGAAATATGACTCCTTGGTTTTTACATCTTGCGCTTTCTTGGAGCTGCTAACATACCAGAGTCTCACAGGCTGCAGGACCAAAATCAGGTTCTGTACATGCAGTTCTGACTTTGTGCTACAGCATCATCTAGCAAACCCACCACCTAACAATGACATGGATACAATGCTCCTAGTTCTCTACATGAATGGATTAGAGCCTGGTTCGAAAGAAATCTCTTTGCCACAAGGAAGGTATAAGCCAACACTGAAGAAAATATCTCTCAATATTTTTCACGGGTTATGTGTTTATCCACAGTGTCAACTGCAAGCCCCATCCATGTGTTAACTCTCCCTTCTTGGGAACCTGAACTCCCTGGGCCTCTTCTACTATCTCAAAGGGCACTTAGAGAAACTTTCTGTGTTTGCTCTCATACACTGCACAAACCTAGATCTTTCAATACAAACCTGTTCTTTTATCTGATTACCAGTGGAAGCCAAAGCCTTATTCATAAATTCCTTGGTCCTAACTGATACATAACATACTGCTCCACACAGGCCAATTCTAGTAACACAGCTCATGTCTTTTAATACATTTAACAAAATGTTTCCTAAATATTTCTTGATCAGATCCCTCCTATCCAAGAACCATATCACAAAGTTTCAAACGACACTCAGAGGCCTGTAGTGCCTTCCTTAGGGCAAGCCAAAAAGAGTAGAGGAGCAGGTAATCCCCTTGAAGCCATATAAACACTTATAATCAAAAGCCTATTTTGGCAAGGAGATCCACAGGTTTAGCTGATGCCAAGTTGATTCATCCAGATTGTATCATATTTATGCAGGTATCACCTATTGAAAGCTGTAAGAGACAATAAAATTAACTTGAAAGGTTCATTTGTCCACCATATAAGACTGTAGCTCCCCAGATCCTCCTGGAATTTTTCCAAAAAGTTGATGTCACATTTGCATGTTCTCACTCTCAGGAAACAGGATAATTTCATTACTGAGTCTGCATAGCCTCTGGTTTAATTCTGCTGTTTCATCTAAGTTTTTAGATTAATACTATTTGGTCCTAATACCCTTGTCAGTTTGAAACTGGCTATACTGAAGTTATTACTGAAATGATTATTACATCTGATCTGTCAAGAGTTTATGATTCTACTTTCTTCAGTAACCAATTGGGGGAACATGGAAACATAATCTTTTCTCGAGTCAAAGGTTATCTTATCCCCCCATTCCGCTTGGTCAAACTTTTTGAGAACAGCAATGTTTTAAATGAGCCATTCAAGTTAAGAACATCATTAACTTAAGAAACAGGAAGGTAGAGCAATTCCTAAGTTGTTCAGAACAGCAATATTAACAATGTATCAAATTAACAAATAGATACAGATTGTGTCCTTGTATAAAAATCAGACACTTCTTAATCTAGATGCTCAACCCTAATGCTTGGGGGTTTGACAAGGTGACCTCCAGAGGGCCCTTCCAATTTCAACTATTTTGTGAGCATTTCCAGATTTCTCAGCCAACTCCTCCTTGAAGTCAAGCACTACAGACAGCTATTCTAACGCCAAGGCAGTCACAATTTTACTCTTCCTCCAACATTCCACCTTTACAACAAAAATAGCTTCCATGAGATCATCCTCTACCTCAGTCACTGATCTTGGAAAACACTACAGCAGCTTCAAACCTAACGCCCTGCCAATGCAGGATGACAGTTACCCGACAACGCCAGGAGGCTTCCACAAGACCCTCAAAAAGACAAAATGCAAAACCCTTACTCCCACAACCATAAACTAGTAACAAAACAAAACAACACAAAAATAATCTTTTCTCTGCAATCCCAGGCAAAAATCCCTCAGCCAGAGGCTTCATCAAAGCACGCTAGAGAGCTCTGGGACTTCCCAAACCTTCTGAACCTTGTCAGTTGAGGTCAACATCAGCTTCTGACATCACATGAGAGATTCAACAAGCAGCCAGTACCACAACTCTCCTATCAAAGCCTAAGCTGCTTTAATACCTTAAAGGAAGCATTGGAGTCATTCCCTGTATTTTTTCAAAACACAAGATGACATATTTAGAAAAAATCTGGCAGCTCTGATATACTACTGTTAACAAACAGGGTTGAGCATCCGTATCCCAGACACGGAAGTTACATCCTACATAATGAAGAAGTACTCTCACCCCCAGAAGTACATGAAGGAAGAAGGGATTATCAGTACCTGATACAAGGCAGTGAACACCAGAGGAATGTGGAGGGAGGGAGGAGGAAGAGAAAGCAAGCTTTGATGAATGAAAGGTTATGAAACAATCTAAGGGTAAAGCCACAAAGGCTACTGTCACACACACTGTCCCTATTGTGCTAAAATGCCAAGGAAAACACCTGAGCACAGAGAACAAAACCACTAGCGCCAGAACCACAAAAAGTTAATCACAGCATTCTAGTCAGAAGCATCCCAACTAAAACAAGTGACATCTAAAATATCCACTAAGCTCCGTTAAACTATAGTTTTAAAAAATTGCAGAAAACCTGAAGAAACATGCTAACAGCACATAGAGACATTATGGTAAAAAGCAGCTTTGTGCTAACGCATACAGCACACCTGAGATTTGTGCACTCCCCTTGACCCTATTACAAGACCAGTTACTCTTCTCACACGGTAACTTGAATGGCTGCAGCTATCTTGTGAGTCACTGCAATTCAGAACCCTGCTTCAGGATCTTGGTTGAAGCTTCAGGTATAGGTCAGAGCTGGAGAAGCAAGCAGCAGGAGTAAAGGATACAGTGCAGAAGAACCTGTAAACCTATCCAATGCTTACAAATTTCTATTGAAGCTCAACGTTAACACTGTATATTCTATTACTGTACTCACAGGTATATTCTGCTGCATGTGCAAAGCATCTAATAATATTTACACTTCAAGTCTTGGCTATGACGACATTATGACTGACTACTCTATACTTGCAAATAACAAAACTTTGTTTCATTTGAGCTGCACTTCCAACCAACTTTTTCCCTGCTCACACATTACAAGTGATTCAAGTTCTCCCTTAAGATTAGAACTAGAGTAGAAATGTGAAATAGCAGAATATTCGCTTGCTAAAAGTAACATATTTTGCTAAACATATTGCACAAGGGCTGCGGAAGATATTAACAATGAGTTGCATGCCAGACCTGAACATCACTAATTGAAACAAGAAAGCTTTGTATCCCTACGCTATCTAACACTAAAATTGCCTTTCAGGAATTAAAACCTGGATTTTTAGGCTCATGACAGTGAAACTTGGGTAGCAGCGTTTGCTATGTTGTATGTATGATGGCATTCCATAGTATTTAACACCAGATGCTTAAGAAGGAGTAAAAGAAAGAAAGATGAAAATGACTCAGAATCCCCCAACTATCATTAACAACCACAGCCAGTAGTTTCCAAACCAGGACCCTTAAATACTGCAGACACCTTCCCTCTCTTTGTAGACGTGGCCCTAATGAAATGCACCTGAAAATACAACTATTACTTTCAAAAGCTACAAGAACTACATCAGAATAAATTTTAAGGTTGTCAGGGAAGCCATTCAAATAGTGGGATCGCTCACCAGAACACAGAGGTGCTAGGAGACAAACAAAAAATGTCTTTTGGGAACTCTGGGTGAAGTAACAGATTATACAGAATTGCATATTTAATTACTGAGGAGAGGAATACTGACTGGAAGAAAGACAAAAAGAAGATTGCTAAAAAGCACGAAAAGACATCAAGCAAGATCACACACACAGAGCACAGCATCTAGAGATGAGGAAGGCCATCAAGTGGGAGCCAGTACAAGTGATACAAGTTGAAGATGCCATGTGGAAGCAAAACCAGAAACCACATCTGAAACATACACAAGAAACATGCAATAAAAGTGTTCAGAACAGGAGTTCCTGTCTTGACTACACATGTGTGAAAATTAACAGAAGGTGCATAATAAATGCTTTAAAATAATTTTAAGTGTTGCCTAGCAAACAGTGGTGAAATCCACACACAGTAACCAAGATACATGGAAAGTAAATATAACAATCTACATGCCATTACCATAGCAAAGGGTCACAGTCTACTACAAGGCATGCATGAGAAAAAACAGGAGGCACAACACATGGCGATGCACTATCTTAAGAAGATAAGGAACCAGCAGCTATGCAGAATGAGGGAAAGATGAACAACAGCCATATCCAGGATATGTATGGGAAGTGGGACAATCCCACGAGCTACTTTTGTCTAGCTGTAGACGCATTTGGAGAAAAAGAGATATATTCAGAAGAGCAACAGGCAGTACGAGCATGCAAAGGTACCGTGGGAGAGGGAGAATTGATTGCTGGTGGGACCAGAAAGATAGAAAAACAGAACAGTACCTGGAGGAGAGCAGAGCCCCTGCAGCGGGAAGGAAGAGTATGGGGAAGGGACAGGAGCCTTGCCCTGAGCCTCGGGAGCCGGGGCACGGGGTGGGCCCGGACTGCAGCGGCAGAGCAGGGAAGCCCCACGCGTGTCAAGGCAGGAGGCGCATGACAGCGCCAGACGAGAAGGCAAAAGTGGCCGGCGGCGTGCCCAGCGCCCGTGTGCCGCGGGCAGCGGCCGGGCGGCGGGGGAGGGGGGAGCCAGCCAGCCATGTTCGGCGGCGGCAGGGGCGGCGGTGACAGGCGAGGCCCGTGCCCGCGGGAAGGGTCGGGGGCAGGGGGCGGCCCGGCCCCTCGCTCACCTGCTGCACCCCCAGGAAGTCATAGAAGTTCCGCGGCACCTCCTCCACCAGGTCGAAGAGCTCCAGGTCGCCGCTGTCCCAGGCGCGGGCGCGGGGCGCCAGCAGCGCCAGCAGCGCCAGGAGCGGCAGCAGCCGGAGTCGCGGAGCGGCCCGCGGGCGGCCCATGACCCCCGGCCCGGCGGCAGCGGCAGCAGCAGCGAGGACGTGGCCGGGGAGGTTCCGCGGCGGCCGCGCACGCCCCGGCAGCGGCTCCGCACTGAGGCAGAAGGAGCCAGGCCCGGCCCCGCCGGCGGCCCGTCCCGCGGGTGGGGGGGTGAGGGGGGGGGGGGGGGGGGGGGAGGCAGGGAGGGAGGGGGACGGTGGAGGGAGCGCTGGCCAATCGCCGGCTCCGCGTGCTGTGACGTCAGGTACCCCGGCAACCGCTGGCGCTCGCGCAGTCGAGGAGCTGAGGGGGGAAGGGCGGCAGGCGGTAGCCGCAGCCGCCTCCCCGGGCGCGCGGCGGAGTCGCAGCAGCGGCGCGCGGGGTCTCCGCGCGGCCCCGCCCCTTCCCGCCTCCTCCCGGCGCCTCCTCCCGGCGCCCGCGCCCTGCCCCGAGCCCCGGCCCCCCCCGGCACCCGGCGCAGCCCCGCACGGGCAGCGTGTGCGTGTCCACACACACACGCGGACCTGTCCCGGCGGCTGGGAGCGGGCCCGGGGCCCCCCGCCCCGAGCAGCCTGCCCTCAGCCGGGGAGCGGCGGCCTGAGGGGCGGCAGCCGCTGCCCCAAACCCCGCTGCCAGGCGCGTCCTCGGGGGCGGCAGCGCTGGGGAGGTTTTGGGGTACCTGTGTCCAGCCTGCGCGGTGGCGCGGCCGGTGCCTGCCGCGGGGAGGGGGCGGTGGTGGCGCGGACCCCACGGCCAGTCTGCGGGTGGGGCCGCCGCTGGCCCCCCGCGCACTGGAATCTCCGTCGGATTTATTAATGCTTTAAGGGTGGGTTTGATTATTGTAACCTGGTTTACCCTAAAATCAGCCCAGCCAATTTTCAGTAACAACTCGATTTTTAAGCTGTTTTTCCTGGACCTTTCGTTCTTGCTTAAGTTGAAAATGAATGCTAGATGAGAAATTAGAAGGAGACTTAATGGCTTAACGATATAAATTATCAACATTAAATCACTTTTCTCTGGTATGGTCCTGGAACACCCCATCTGTTTCACCCCTCCTGAAGCTAGGCTAGGCCTTGTTAATAACTCACTGTGAGAATTTTCAAGAAAAGACAGTTTCACTCATTTAAAAAATACCTATGAACTGAATCAAGTTCAGAAAGGAGTTTTTCCAATTAAAAAAAATCCCAAATACTGATTTTACATGCATTCGCATTCACCTAAGAGGAGCTAGGCAGCATTTACAAAATCACTGTACAATAGAGCACAGTCTTAGATGCTCTATGGGAATAGCAAGATGTGGCTTTAAAATATACCCTGGTTAATGCAGAGGAAGGACTTGACCCAACATAACCATTATCAATTTTCCAACTCATAAAGGATAGAGTATTTTTATGTATTCTCTTCTATTGAAACTGTTCCCTTTTGTATAAACTATTTAAATATTAATTAGATTAATATTTAAACTCATGTTTCCATATCCCATATGCATGCCCACTGGGCTGTTAGGATCATGATTCTGCCTCTGGCTCTATTTTCTGAAGACACCTAAACTCATTTGCCAGGAAATGATAATTTAACCAACAGTGTCTGACGCTGACTGTTTTTAATTCACCTTTCTCAAAAAGGAGCATTTAACTGTTCATTTTAATCATCTTAAAAAGTACATCTCCCACTTGATCACAAAGCCAAAAAAATAATCCTTATCTAGAGAACGACAAAGAGAAATTCATGGCCTAGTTAATTTATCAGCTGCTTTGTTTTGCTGGAGTAACTGAACCTGGTGTAGATCAATTTCTTCCCTTGTCCATCTTTTCTTAATCTGTTCTGTTTTGCACACAGTATTCATAGCATAAATTCCCTTTGTTACCTAGTGTATCCACATTCTCCTTGCTCTCAAGCCTCAAGCTTTATTGCACAAAAATAACAGCGTTCGATTCAAAAAGTTACCTACTCACAAGGTTTTTGAGCAAAGGTTAATGATGCAAAGTACCCTTAGAAACCAGGGGCAAATGAAGAGTTCAATAAGGTAGTATTTTTAAACCAGGTTAAAGATGTTTTTAAAATGTGAGATTAACATTACTCCATTCCCCTTCATAGTTGCTCTCCAAATTCTCCTTTCCTCTGACTCACTGTGTATTTTCCACATCTACTTTCATCTTGCCTCATTAGCTTCTAAGCCTCCTTAGTTAAGTTGATCTAGTGTAATGATCAGCCTTGAAGAGAAGCATTTGTTATTTTGATCTTATTTTTCATTATTCAGAATTTGTTATGAAGAATGACCCCTTTCAAAATCCACCTCTGGCTGCTCTTGCTGAAACTGCTAAAAAAGCCTTTGAAAAATCTGATAAAAAGCAGGTGATCTCTTCTGTTTCAGTGAGACTAGGAAAAACTGACCTAACACTGATCACCAATTGCAGGTAGCTTGTGGCTTCAATCCTTTTGAGATCAACAACAACAGATTATAGCTATTTTGAAAGAAACATATCAAAATTCTTCAGATAAATTATGGTTTCCTTCAGTCAAGAGGAGTGTGAATTTAGAAAGAATGATAGGAGAAAAAATGCACTAATGATAATGGGAATATGATTATTTGAAATACATATTTAAGAGACATCTTACACTTAAGTCAGCATACTTAAATGATTCCAATCAGTTTTAACAATGTGGGAAATTTGAATACTCATTTTTATTCTGCTCCTTGAACTATTAGAAGGCCTGATACTATATGTAACCTTTCTAAAACGCGTTTTTTTTAAATCCTAGACTATGAGATTAGTTTAAATGTTTCCATTAAAATAATTCTGTACTCCAAGAATAAATACTGAAAATTTGGGAAGAAAATGCTAAAACCCCTATTAAAATGATACAAGCACCACCACAATAATGACACATTATTATTTTCTCATTCCTCTGTTTTCCTCTTTAGAGTCACTAGAAGTTATTTTTTCTTGGTGAGCCATTAGAGTCCTTCCACCTTCTCCGACACGTAATTAATCGAAGTCACACTAGGCTTCCATAATATAGAATAAATCAGTTAAATTAGAAGTCAGTTATCTCTCCTGGTTTCAGAGAAGGCCTTAAAATGCAAAACAAACATAATAAAATTCAGCAATGCTTGCCTTCGCTATGAGCCTGCATCGATATATGTGAGAAATTTCCAGTGACACATACAATGACTGGTGAGTTGGGTGACCAGTGATGATTTAAATCTTAGTACCGCGAACCCTGACACAAAGGTAGAGGATTACACGTGGCTTTTTCGTTACGGTCTAGAACTACTCATGTTGGGAAGTATTAGTATTTTTTTCTCAGACGTGACATTTAAATGGCTAGAGGATCAGAGAAAGGTTTTCAATTCTTCATGTAGTCTCTGCAGCTGGGCAGCTCCTTTAAGAATATGGAGAACTGTGAAGGCAATGATGGCATTTTCTTTCTCTGCCCTGAGTTTGTCTGCACACAGAGGCAGGTATCACTGAATCAGATATGCTCAGTCATGAAGCTCTCCTTTGCAAACCGTAAGGGAAAGCAGCATATACAGAAATAATTTGTTTAAATAAATCTCTGTTCTGATGCTAATTGACAATAGCACTCAAGGCCCGAGGCATGAACCAGTTATTATTAGCGTTTTTAAGAGCACTGAAAGACCAACATGCTTCATAAGCCCAGTAGGATTCACACAATCATATTCTGAATAGTTAAACAGCCTGCGATTTCGATGCCTGGAATGGAAGACGTCTAGGGGAAAAAGCTTATTAAGGGACCACCCCTTCCTAAAGATAAAGCCTTATCTCCAGCAATTCGAGAGCCTGGCTGCTCTGCAGTCTATTCCAGTTTTTCTATTCAGGCTGTTTAGTTTAGGTGCTCTACATGGTTTTGTACTGTAACAGTAGTTTTCTCTGTTAACAAAACTGGCTTAAGGCTTTCCTGCACCCTCCCCCCCTCCAGGCACTTGTTCCCACCTCTGTGCCACCGTTTGCTGCCTCCTCAACTGTTCTAATTCAACTCTTTGTGAGCTACATTATAAATCAAATTACTAAAATGATCCAGGGTTTGGTTTGGTTTGTTTTTTTTTTTTTAATTAAAAAAAAAAAACAAAAACAAAAAACTGTTCATGCATACACGTATGCACATACACAAAAACTCGGATTTATTTCGGTGATCCAATTTACAACACAACCCACAAACAGCTGCATTCGCACAGTCAAGGGGACAGCGAACAGTGATGAAGGAGCAAGAACAAGAGGGCAGAGCAGGCAGGAAACTGCCTGGCTTAAACTGGCTTTCCCACTGGAAAAAAAAAACCTTTGTATAACTACACCCGGAGAGCTGAAAGCAAGCTGTTCCCTAAGCAGTGAGGCTAAGCAGAGTGGAGGGAGGAATTCTGTTTCACAGCTGGCAAGAACGTTTGAGGGCTTGCACCGGAAGAGAGGGTTCTCGTGCAAAAGCAGCGAGGAAGGCGACAGTAGCCTTGCTCTGAGCCGTCCTGTGGTGCTCCATCCCGATAGGCGAGTGGTCTGGTTATTGCCTTTTTAAGGGATTTTTTTTTTTTAAAGCCAGATCGTTTTGCAAATGCAGTTTAGAGTGTAGCCACACAAACAGACAAATGCAGTGGAGACCGAGGGAATGTAACATCCAGCCCAGCAATGGGAAAAGAAAGGGGTACAGGATCACTTTATAGCAACCCTGCCCACTGAAAGATTTGTAAGGAATATGCCATTTGTGTAGACCAGCTGTTACGTTAGGCAGACATAAGTCAAAGTAATGAGAAAGAAATGTGGGAATGGAAAGAGAAGCAAAAGCAGCAGAGCTAAAAACAGAAAGCTATTACGGTCCATCAGACATGAAAGAATATTTAGGAAATAGCTAATTCATGCCTGGTCTGGGCAGCTCAGTCCTCTCTTTTAGCTATGTTACTCTTTTTTTTTCTTTTTCTTTTCCTCATGCTACATCATTAGTGCCAAAACTCAAACAATCCCTGCCTACTGAGCATGCCATACCCTGTGATTCTATTTTCCAAACCAAAAAAGTATCTGAAGCCACATTAACATCATATGAGATGACTCACAGACTGTAGGATAGGAAAAGAGGGTTCATCTCAGAATATCAACCATATCCTAATAGTATAAAGCCAACATATGAAAGCCTTGTTCATTATAAATGGCCCTT